TGAGCAGCTGGAGGGCACTCTTAGGCTCAGCAGTGCAAAGGAGCGAAGGCAGAACAACTGGCCCCAAGCCCCGGCTCAACTCCCTCCAGCTCAGGAGCCTGGTGGGCAGGAGCTTGTCCTTGGAAAGCCCCTTCTGGGGGTGAGAACAACTGGCAGAACTCTGAGACTGATGCTCCAAGGACTGAAATTTCCCCTTGTTTTTGCCCAGAAATGTCTGGCTTGGTCTGCCCACCCCTCATTCTTTCCCTCCCTGCCTGCCTGCCTTTTTGTTTCCAGTTTTGGAACATTCCAGTCAGAGGGGGCTCTGTGGTGGGGTGGCGGAGCCAGCGGGAGCCTGGACTCCATGAGGGGCTTGGACTGTGCCCTGGCCACAGCCTTTCGTCACTGTTCCCCCCGAACTGTGAGCATCAAGGAGCCAGGGACCTTGGCTTCTCAACCCAGATGGTGAAGGGAATGGGGGGGATCCCCAGAGAGCCTTACTTGGGTTTTCCCTCTCCTTGCCTGGGTTTGATCCTGTTTTCCCTTTTAGACTGATCCAAATGCCAGTCTGAAGCTTTGTGATGGGGAGGCTGTGGTGGTGGGGGGCTGGGGGCTGGCCATGCTGGGCCTCCCTGGCAGGAGGGGCTGCAGGGGTACATGCTCATGGGACCTTTGAGGAGACCACACAGCCTGGCCCATACCCATCTCCGTGGTCTCCCTTGAACTACTCCATGGTGGCCCTAAAGATGCCCCTTCGGTGCCACGGTGAACCAAACTCCTTCAGCTTGGGCCAGGAAGTGTGCAGAAGGGTGAGGACAGGCAAGGGGAGGGTCAGGAAACACCTCAGTGTTGGGCTGGGAGGTCTGAGTGCAGAAGCGAATGGAGGCAGGACAAGCAGGTTAGGCAGTGCCGATGGGTCAGTTTTCAACATGGGCTTTTGAGGTCCCCGTGACCCCAGCATCTAGCCAATGTCCCTAGGAGCTAGGGGAAGTCACATGGTCACCTCCGAAGAGAAGTGTATGGGATGGCCAGGGGCACAGGCCATGGGCTGGGACTGGAGGATGCAGGTGAATGATGAATCAACTGCTCCCTGCCCCCCTGGAACGGGGGGGGGGTCGAGGCCTGGTTTTGAGGTCCTGCTTCAGTGGTGCAGGACCTCAGGGATGATGGTGATGGGGGGTCTCAGGGAGCGGGAGCAGGGGCTTCAGGTGCTCTGGGAGCACAGATGGGACAGCCATGCCACCCTGGGGCAAACCAGGAAAGCTGCAGAGGGATCCATAGGGAGGACTAAGTTTCATGGGCAGAGGTGGGGAGTGGTGGGCACAGTCAGCAAGAAGCCCCGAGAAGCCCAAGTCTGGTTCTGTTGGGTTTAGCAAGCAGAACCCCACTCCCACCCCAGTCCCAGTCCATACTTGCCTCCGGTTTTTCTCTGGATACAGGTATGCTCAGGGCTGAAGCAGGGCTCACAGAGGGAGCCTGCATGCAGAAAGGCAGGGAGCTGGCCCTGGCCGGCCAGCACTGGGGAGGAGGCCTGGGGCAGCCTGCTGGGGCCAGGTGTAAAAAGCCCCAGACATAAAGGTGGAGGTGGCCTCTCTCCTGCCCACAGCCTCAGGAGGGTCATTTCCTGCAGCCTAGGTCAGAGGCGGGCCAGAGGAAGTGGCTACCTTGGTTTAATGAGTGAGGTCTGAGTGAGTCCAGATCCTGGCTGAGAACCAGGTCAGCCGTGCAGTCACGCCCACCCTGCCTGATGGCAGAGCAGCCTCTGAATGAAGGAGACCAGAGAACAGGCTGGGGACAGGCCAGCAGAAATTCTCTGATGCCAGCCTAGACGAAGTCCTCCCAGGAAGCCCTTGGGCCCCAATCTGCAAACTGGTCTGATACCATCAGCCCAGAAAGTCCTGCCTGGGTAGGGTTAAGGCGGATACTTCTTGCCTCTGCCTGAGGGGATATCAGTGTTTGGGTGCAGGGGCTGGTCCCCAACCCTCCAGAAAGCTTGGGGTCACTGGTTCTCATCTAGAGCAATGGAGGCACCATGGGGTAAAGTTCAATTGTCATTTTATTATCATCCCCTCTACCCCAACACCCCCAACCCTATTTCCTACTGGATTAATTTAGCCAGTCAATAAATATTTGTAAGCTGGGACAGGGGAGGATGGTTAACAAAGACCCAGAGTTCTAATCCTCATGGATATCACAATCTTCTCTGAAAGTCTTACTGTCCTCTGAGGCTCAACTAAACACCACCTCCTCCAGGAAGTTCTCCCAAATCACACACCTCTTCTAGTAACTCCCGCTCAGGCCACTTCCTCTTCAACCTTAGGATGGGCTTGCATGGCCAGCCCTGGAGCCAGCACACTGATGGGCCTCAGTAAGTGACAGCATTCTGCTGCCCCCCTCAATTCATTGTCATCAAGGAGGGGTAAGATTCCTTGAGTCCTGTGAACCCCCAGCCTGGCTCCCTGCCTCTGCACATGGCACCCAAATGTGACCAGCACTCATACAGGTGAACCTGCTCTGCACATGGCACCCAAATGTGACCAGCACTCATATAGGTGAACCTGCCCTAAGAAAATCTGGCAACTGAAAATGGCACCAGTACTCACAGGAAGGGGTCACTCAGCCCCTTAAACTGGCCTCCCTCCATTTCTGCTGCCCTGCAGGGACAAACTGAACTCTAGAGAGGTCTGCATGGCACAGGTCCCAAATGCCCTGAGGTCACACAGTGACTTTACACTCCACTGGGTGCACCTCCCACCTGGGCTGATTCCAGATTTGAGGGCCACTTCGGGCAAGCCCCTCAAACAGTAGTGCCTGGGCCTCAGAACCTCGCCTCACTCATCTGCATCGTCCACCCAGGGGCCCAAAGTCCATGAGGATCAGCCTCTGGTATAGACACAGGGTCCAGGTGCAGTTCTGAGGAAAGTGGCAGCGGCGGGAGCACTTGGCCAGCAGGACCATCTGTGTTCTCACCAGGCCTTGAAAGCAAACCCCAGGTGGGAGTGAGGGCCTGGCCCCTGGTCCAGTTGACCCAGTCCTGTTGCCCGGTCTCAGGCCCATCTGGAAAAAAGAAATGGCTGCAAAGAGCAGAGGCAGGGATTCAGCCTGAGCGCTGACCTCTAGCTGTGGGGGCAGCCAAGAGCAAGGGTCAGCTTGAGGCCTTGACTGAGAGCCTTGGGCAATAGCATTGCTGGAGGTAGGTGAAAACCCAGCCCCCAGCACCTGGCCCAAGCAAGCCCCTCCCAGAACTGCCTGGTTGGGTAGATGGGCCACAGCCTGGCCTGATGCTAGACCCAAACCAGGCTGAGGAGGGAGATGACTCCTGGGGTAGCGCCTTCTCTTCTTGGGTGCATATTTCCATTCTGTGAGCACCTGATTCCCCTGTGTCAATGGGGACCAGCAGGGCACTCAACCTTCTGGGGCCCATGTGGGCTTGCGCTCAGCCTGAGGAGTTTGTTTTGTTTCCAAGCACCCCCTCTGCTGCCATCCAGAACATCTGGCAGAATGGCAGAGGGGCTGGCCCTCAGGTGAGGACAGCCAAGGCTTGCCCCCCACCACCCTCTGCAGAGACGGCCTCCACCTGCACTGTGAGCACCCCATGGAGTGCTGTCCCCCCCCACCCCCAAGTCCTGCTTCTGTCCATGCCCCCACTACACAGGCCCACCCGCTCCTGTGCATGTCTGTCACACCTACCAGACTGAACATTCCTGGGGAGGTGGGATCATGTCTCACTCACAGCTGAGTCCTCAGCACCTGGGTGCATACAGTAAGCATCAGTGAGTGCATGTGCTTGGATGGAGCCCCTCCAGAGCCTGTGGCCACCTACCCCTGGGTCCTTACAGGCCTGACACTTCAGGGGTCAGGGAACCATCAGCCCTGGGTGGGGGAGGGGGCGCCAAACAAGCAAGTTGGAGCCCAGGTGAGGGAGTTGATACCTGCCCAATACTGGCAGGGAGGACACTGGCCAGCCCGCCCACCTGCCATGCCCTGTGTCCTCTAGCAGGCAGCTATGGAGGAGGCTGGCAGCGCTGGGAGCAGCTGCAGCCAGTCTTTTCTCCTGTCCAAAAGAACATTGCCCTGGGGCTTCCCCCAACCCCCTTAGACCTCGAAGGTTCCCAGGCAAGGGAGTTTCCAGGGGACAGAAGCAGAATTCAGGCTAGTGCCTGGAGTTGGATACTCCCGACCCCAGCAGCAGCTCTGGGGTGAAGGGAGGGGGCTGCCTGGCCTGGCTTTCTGAGAAGGGACCTGATCTGTCTGCAGGAAGTTGCCCTTCATCCCGTGACTTGTCCAGGGCTGTGCCCTCGGCCCAGGCAGAACTGGTCTGAACCAGTTAGTGTGGCTCAAGGAGGCCAAGAACCTGTAAACCAACAAGTACTTCTTAGAAGCAACTCTGCCCCTCCCCACTCAGTCACTCTGCCCAGCGGGAGGCCCAGACGTAGGCCCTGGCTACTCCACTTGCCCTTTGCCCCCTACCCAGGGGCCGCTATCACCAACAGGAGCCCGCGGACCTGTTGAGTAGAGTCACACTCCCAGGAGCCCCGTGAGCATGTCTGAGAACTGGTTAGAGAGGATAACTCTTCACCCAGAGACCGCAGTCTTGATGGTGGGGTTTTAGCTCTGTGCTGAGCACTGGGGAGCTTAGCTGACAGCGCCCCCCAAAACCCCCAAGCCTCAGTGGGCTCTGACCATGGCTAGCCAGGTGATAGAGAAGCACCATGGGGACTAGTCTCTAGCCAGCTGTGCATCAGCCCCAATGAACCCTCACTCTGAGCAAGGGGGGGGAGGTCTCTGCCAGGCCTCCCCCACTACAGAGCACCCACCAGAATGGCGCAGGCATGGGGCCACATGTGAAGTCGTGACTCTGGAAGGCCCAGGCGGAGCCAGGGCCTTCCGTCCATTTCAATGGCCCAGTCCCAGTGAAAGGACTGCAGGCCTCACCCTCATCACAGCACCCAGAGGGGACTTCCTGCAGGGACAGTCCCTGGTCATATCTGAAGAAAAAAAATACTTCTAGACTTTTTAACCACACAGGTCAATACACTTTTCTTTTTTATTGAGTCAGTCTGGGTTGGGTTCCTGTCACTTGCAGGTAGAGATGAGGACCGAGAGGCGCCAGACACGTGGAAGAGATGAGACCAGGTCAGAAGCTGCGGGGAGCTCAGGCTGCAGTCCCCAGGCCTGGGGGCACCCACAGCACAGCACTCTCTTGTCTGACTCTGGTAAGCTGTCACACCCTGTCTGATGAGGCCCCCCTGCATCGGTCTGAGGGGTAGGGGTGGGCAGGCCTCAGCTTCCTGCAGGCCTCCCAGCACTCAGTCTTCCCTGGGGGTGTGCTTAGGTTTAAGAGGAGAGGAGACCTCACTCCAGTCACATCTGCTCCCTAAAGATATCTGTGGTCATGTAATTCATGGGCTTGGAACTGCAGCCGGCAGGGCCGAGAAACAGTTAGTTCTCAAGAGGCCTGAGGTTTTAGGTTTGCTAAGGAGAGAGATAATTACCTGTAGTGGAAAAGCAGAAAGGTCCTGGGGTCCAGAGGGCCCAGATGTCTCACTGTGCCTGCCTCCTGTGGGGGTGAGTCCTTGGGGTGAGCTCTGGGGGCGCTGTCCTGTGGTGGGCCCAGAGCAGGCTTGGATGCAGAAATGACTAGGGACCCCCACCCCCCACCCCCAGCCTCACATCTGCAGACCCGGGTCAGCTGTGGAAGGATGACCAGGAGAGGCCTGAGGTGTAGAACTTGAAGTGACTGGACCAGTCGCCACCCTCACTGCACTCCTTGTCCTCCTCCGAGTCTTCGTCGTCTCCACTGGAGGCTCCGGCCAGGTGGGCCAGCTGCCCGGGGGACCCCATGCCCTGCTCCTCTTCCTCCTTCTGCTTCTGAGCAGCCAGCTCGCGGTAGCAGAGGCTGCAGACACGCAGGGGCTTGGACGAGAGGCGCGGCAGGAGGAAGCGCTCCCGGGAGCACTCGGCGCAGACCACGAAGCCACACTTGCGGCAGTGGTGGCGCCGGGTGATGGCCGAGAAGCGGGTCTGCGTGCAGCGCATGCAGATGTCCGTGGCCTTGTCGGGGATCCAGGGCGCGGCGTGCTCCTTGCTGGGCGGGCGGCCAGTGGCCAGCAGCTGCCTCCGCACACACTCCTCGATGTGGCTGATCCACTCCTGGCGCTCCGTGGTGGAGGCGGCGGACACCACGAAGGACTTCTTGGCCGTCTTGATCATCCAGCGGTTCTTGGCCTGCAGGGTCTCGGGCAGCGGCTCCAGCGTCACCTCCTCCAGGGGGATGATGTGCTGGCTGCGGTACTTGCGCTTGTTGAGCACGATGCTGCCATACACCAGGATGTCATTGAAGAGGAAGAAGATGCGTGGCTTGGCCTTCTTGCGGCACTCCTTGGTCAGCACGCCCTCGCCCAGCAGCACCCGGCCCGGCAGGGCCAGTGGCTGCCCCGAGGCCCCGAAGCAGCTCTCGACAGCAGCGATGCGCTGGCTGTTGATCTCCGTGTTCGCCAGGTGGTCTACCATCTTGGCCGCTGGCACGGCTGTGGGGGAGGGGCAGAGAATCATCAGCTTCTTTTTTTTTTTTTAAAGATTTATTTATTTATGCATATAAGAACTGGGGTGTAGGCCAGAGATACGGGTGGGTGAGAGGATTCACCAGAGAGAGTGGGGAGCAGAATAGGCAGATCCACTGAAATACACTGCTGAGGGGAGCAGCAGGCGAGCCAGGAGAGGTCTGCTGTGCCATGTGGGTTGCTCCCTGGCGGGCTGGGGACCAAACTTGTGATGTAGTGGGTGGTGATAGCTTGATAGGGCTGTGTCTTTAATCCCTGTGCCACCAGGGAGGCCACCTCAGCTTCTTTGGGCATAGTTGGGGGCCAGGAGCACACTGCCCACCCCCCAACTCACTAGTCCAAGACAGACAACCCACTTATTATCTGGCTGGGACCCAGTAAGCTCTCCAGACCACCAACCAAAGCAACTAACTACCCTGAAGCCAGCCCTTAGAGTTCCTGGAGGTTAAGGGATCCCCAGGAAGGGGCGTGCGGAGGCCAGTCAGCAGTGGTTGGCAGCAGGAAAGCTGTGTAACTGAGCAGGCTGCCATTAGGGCACCGCGGTGATCAACATACTGAGGAAACCTCGGAAGACAGCATAGAACACACTCCCTCAAGAGTGTCTGCCCGAGAGGCAAGGAAGCTGGAACATGGAGCCCCAACTCCCATCAGTTGTTCCCGGGTGCTAGCTACCTGGTACTACACTCCGACCCCAGGTAGAGGGTGCAGGTGCATGGGGACAGTGCGTTCCAGACAATATGATGTCTGTAACCTCTAGCCAGTTTGGTCTCCATCCACCAAGCCAAACCACCACGGACCCTGCCACCCACCGACTCAGCCCATAGGTGCAGCGGGCACTGCCACTGGAGCACTGCTGAGTGCTCCCTGCAGGTCAAGCATGTCTATTTCGTGTAGTCCTCACACCAGCCCTAGGAGGGAGAACCCCTCTTGATAGAAGGGAATCTAAGGCTCCGCTAGTAAGTAGGGGACCCAGGGCCTGCACTCTGTCCTCCTTAATATGCACTAAATGTTGGTGACCCCTGAACTCATCTGGGCCCCTTCTGCTCTGTCCACACACACCCCAATCGATACCCAGACTCATATCTCTGAAGAACAACTGCTGCTGACTCCCCAGGTCAAGTCTCTGGCCCCGGCCTCTGCCTGGAGCTGTGGGGGTGGACATCACACATGATGATCTACCACCTGCTCATCAACAAGGTCCTCGAAGTCGACATGCCCGGCCCAAGCCCAGCTGTTCCCGCCAGCTCTTCTCCATCATCAGAGCCACCATTCACCTGCTTGTTCAAGCCCCAAGACTGGGATGCATCCTTAAATCTCCTCTTTGCTGTTACCCCAACAATCAACCAAAGAGCAAGCCCTGCCATCTGTCTCTCTCACAGCTCCCCCACCCTGCCCACCTGCTCCATACCACTCCACTGTCGAATGGACAGCCGGGGCCATCACGCCTTGCCCAGAACAGACCACCCTGTGCTGGCTCCTTCCTGTGACCTGACTCTGTCACCATCTCCCTTTCTAAAAGGGTCTCAGATAACCTAGCTTTGGTAGTGACTCCCGCACGCAGGATGGGCTGGCAAACTATATGGCCCGACGGTTAAGCCTGGCCCTCAGCTAGCTTGGAAATCAAGTCTTACTGGCACCCAGTCACCCCTCACTCACTCACAATCAGCTGCCACGGCAGAGCTGAGCAGTGGGAGCACACCACGGCCAGTCTGAAGGACCTGCTATCTTGACAGTAGGCTTGCCGCCCTCCTGTAGAATGGTACCTTATTTTGTTTCTTTTTCATAGGACCCGGTATTTTCTTGCTTCTTTGTTGCTTATTGCCTGTTTCCGCCCCTCATTCTCAGTCCTAAGGGGGCAGGAGCCTTTTCTTGTTCACTGCTGTGTCCCAGGCATGTCCAAGCCGAGCACATGGGGCCGAGCACATGGGAGGTGCTTCCTAAGTGGCCACTGAGCGAGTGAATGATTCCCAAGCTCCCTGGGCCTCCCACCTTGACTCAGCTCTTACCTCTGAGAGGAAGCAGGTGAGCGCTGAGCCTGCAGCCACACTGTGTGCACGCACATGTGCACACACAGCACGACCCGCCGAGCTGATCACACGTGAGGGTTTCTGGGTCACCACACTGCAGTTTCGCACGTCAAGCCCCTTGCGGGAAGCCTCTTGCTCAAGAGGGGTGCTGGGCCCCTGAGTCACGTGCCTCTTGCCCCTGTCAGACCACAAGGCATGGTGAGAAGTGCTGCCCACTTATGTAAGAGCTGCTATATTTAGGTTGCTGGTCTAGGCTGTGTGTTGCAAACCTAGTGGATTACTAGTGACTGTCCTGAGCTGCCTTGCTGCTGCTGGTCACTGGGTCTCTGCTGTGGACAATCTGGAAACATTCCAGAGGCCACTCCAGGGTCCCTGGGCTGAGTGCTAGGGGTCCTGCATGGGCCGGAGGGGGCTCAAAGTGCAGCAGAGGCCACAGAGAAGGCCAGCATCAGGGGAAGGGCCACCCCCAAGTCTACCCCCGCAATGGAATTCTGTCAGCACGTGGGCCATCACAGAGAGAGGACAGATAGATGTGCTGAGCAGAAGAAAGTAACCGGCGGTGTATAGAATACGATATATAGAATGGGATACCATGTACACAGAAATAACATACTTCAAAAGTACTCCAGAGCTATGTCTATGAGCAATAATAGGATGGAGCTGCATAGCCATGAGGATGGTTATCAAAAAAAAAAAAAAAACCAACAAAAAAACAATAACCCCACAGGAAATAACAATGCTGGTAAGGAAGTGGAGAAGCTGGAATGCTCAAGCACTGCCAGTGGGAATGTCGCATGGTGCAGGTGCCATGGAAAACAATTGGAGGTTCCTCAAAACACTAAAAATGGAAATGCCAGAGGATCCAGCAATTCCACTTCTGGGTAAACATCCAAAAGAACTTGCAGTAGGATCTCGGAGGTATCCCTGAACCCAAGTCCACAACAGCTGAGAGGTGGATGAACGGCTAAGTCAAATGTGGTATAGCCATACAATGGAATATTATTCAGCCTTAAAAAGGAAAGAAATCTTGGCACATGCTACAACATGGATGGACCTTAAGAATGTTTTGCACAGGGCCTCCCTGCTGTTGCCAGGGTTAAGTCTTAGCACTATGAAGCTATCAGCAGCCACTGCAGCACCAGTTTGATCTCCAGCCAGGGAGCTACCCACATGGCTCAGCAGACCTCGCCTGTCTTGCCCGCTGCTCCCCTCAGCAGTGGATTTCAGTCAATCCACCTGTTCTGCTCCCCACTCTGTCTCTGGTGAATCCTCTTACCCCCTCCCTAACCTCTGGCCTACACCTCAACTCTTGCATAAATAACTCTTGCATAAATATGCATAAATAAATAAAATAAATCTCTTTTTTTTTGAAGAATGCTTTACTCAATAAAGTAAGCCAGAAGAGACAAAAATGACGAAAGCTGTATGATTCCACTTATATGAGGTGTCTAAAGTAGCCAAATTCAAAGAAACAGAAAGCAGAATGGCGGTTACCACAGTCACGGGGAGGGGAAAGGACAGTTGCTATGGAATTTAATGGGTATAGAATTTCAGTACTACAAGATGAAAAGAATTCTCCAGATCTGTTTGCAACAATGGGAATATACTTAACACCAATGAACTGTACACTTAAGAAGTTAGGAAAGTAATAACAAAGTATGGACATGTCAAAGTCAAGAGAAAGTGACATCAGGGAGGGGACTTGGAGGTAAGCAGGAATGCAGGGGGGGTAGGGGAGGGATAGTCCTGCAATGTTGTATTCCTTTTATTTAATAAAGGCACAGAAATGTGACAGGATCCGGATACTAGCCAATTCCAGGAAGAAGGAACACGAGCCTCTTTTCTTTCTTTTTTCTCTTTTTTTCTCAAAAGGAAAAGGACAGGCCAGTTTCCGAGTAAAGAGCCCTGAACTCAATCAGCTGAGGGTTGAGCCAGCAGACCTGCATGCATGTATGGGGTCATGGGCTGGGCTCCCTGCCTATGGCCTCAGGGCCCAGGTCTGCAGATGCCAGCAGCCCTGAGGACACAGGCAGGCACTTCTTTCCTCCAGAGCCTCTGGAGCCCCTGTGTGCCAGACCAGCAAGCACAAGTGATAAAAACCCAATCTGGCCATAGATGGAGGCCTGGCACACGGGGCAGCAGAGGCTGACAGCCTGTGTGCAGAGAGAAAAGAGCGGGCGGCCCCTATCCAGCAGTGGGGTTTGGTGAGCTTTGTGGGCCTGCATGCCCAAGTCCTCCTCTGACTAGATGTCCAGGTGGGTGCCATGGAGGAAGCAACAATAGAACCCAGGTGAGGCAGAACTACGGCGGGGTGTGCTACAACCAAGAGCAGAGGGTAGTTGCGGGGGGTGGAAAGAACCTACACATTTATCTCCCCAGCTCTCAGAGAAGGCAACAGAAAAGGTACACTGCACCCCCTCACTGCTCTGCCCCCAGCTGTGATTTGCAGACCTTTTCCCTGCCCTGGTGGCCTCTGTCCAGCTGCTGCCCAAGAAGGGTAGGGGTGATGTGGTATAATGGAGGAGGTCTGGGCTCTGAGCTGACTCCACACAACCTGGAGTCTGGCATGGCAGGACTGTGCCTGGCACATGGTATGACTTCAGTAAATGCTTAAAGGTGAGGGCCTCCCCGGTGGCGCAGTGGTTGAGCGCTGGGCTGCGAAGCTGCCTGCAGCCTCTGCAGTGCTGGTTCGATACCCGGCACCCGGTGAGGGTCCCACATGGCGCGCAGACCTCTCCTGCCGCCCGCTGCTCCCCTCAGCAGTGTACCTCGGTCCTTCTGCCTGTTCTGCTCCCTGCTCTGGCTCTGGTGAATTCTCTCACCCTCCCGCGCTTCTGACTGTACCCAGTGCTTGTATAAATAAATAAATAAATAAATCTTTAAAAAAATGCTTAAAGGTGAATCCAGGCAACACAGCTGCCTCCAGTGGGTCTTGGGTGGGGTGAGGGACTCCCCCACACCTTCTACCCTTCCACCACTGTAACTTTATACCTTGGTCTGACATGGCCTGGAGGGTTTATGGGCAGAAGGGGGATCCTCTTCTTTATTATTCTCACCCAAAAGGTGAACTTGCCCTTAGGACAAAGCAGAGAGCTGAGAGGGGACACTTGTGCATGATGGAGGCAGGAAGTGAACATGTCTGCTCTTTCTTAGAGGGTGAGGAGCGTGGAAGCTGCTGGGCTCACCCTCCTGAACACTAGTGATCCCACACGTGAATGGGCTAAAGGGGCCCTTAGGGGGCACTAGGGCTTGGGGACCCTAGTGTCTCTGGTGGTCAGGATTCTGTGCACTGCAGTCAAGGTATCACATGTGACTTGCACCAGGGCTGGCAAACCAGCGCGAGTCTGGCCCACTGCTAGCGTCTCTAAATGTACTTTACTGGAACATAGTCCACATAAAGAACGGTGTGCAAAGCCTAACATGTTTACCGTTTGCCCCCTCACAGAAAAAGTCAGCCGACCTCTGAACTCCACTACCTCGGGCTGCACCTCCCACCGGGCACAGCTGACAAGGCGCAGAGGGCACGTCCTGACAGGACCCCTCCAGGCCTCTCCCTCACTGCGATACAGCTTTTGGGATCCCAGAGAGATGGCTGGGGCCTCACCTTGGAGCCCTGGAAGCAGGAGCTGGGAGGCAGTGTCAGGCCCATCCTGAGTCAGATGCTGCTTATGGGAGAGGGATGGACTTGGTCAAAGGCAGGGGGAGGAACTCGGGAGTCTGGCCCTTTGGACTATGCCTGATTGGGACAGTCTCTCCTCTCCTCCAACCCCAATCAGGCCAACATTGCTTCCATGCCAGCCTGATTTCAACTTCTAAACATTTACTGAAGTGCTACAAGGTGCCAAGCAGCCTGCTGTGCTAGGCACTGGGCTCTAGCAGGGAGCTGGGGTTCAGGCCGCTTAGTAACATCCCTCCTGCTGGCAGAGCAGGACAAGAAAGTAAATCAACAAGGTCATTTCTAACCCTGAGTGCTAAGAGCTAGGAAGAAAAAGGTGGATGTGCCCAGGGGGGCTGGGGTGGATGGTCAGGGTGTAACAGGGTGGTCCCCAGGAAAGGGGGAGGTTCCAGGTTCCCTGCCCCACCCAAATGGAGGGTGGATCGCCAGGGGCTGCTCCCTTACAAGAGGAAGCTTGAGGAGGAAAGGACCAGCATCACTCTGAACATTCAGTCAGCTGTGCAAACGCTTGAGGGAACAGCTGGGTTCAGGCAAAAGTTCTAGAACCCACAGCTTGGAGGCCTCAGAGGAAGGAGGGAGGGGTAAGAGGCTAGGTCAAAGGGCCCCAAGGGCTCAGACTGCAGACCCTTAGGCCAAAAGCAATTCACTTCTCCCCAAGTGCGCTGAGGACAGTGCAGCATCCAAGCCTTCCCTCCTGCACAGACTACCCCGCCCATCCCACCCCTCACCCCCCCCAGACTTGGCCAGCCTCACTTCCAGGAAGGCCCTTCTCTATTAAAAGAATAGAAAAGGAAAAGAAATCAGAAGTTCCATTAACTTAGCCCTGACAGCTCCCCAGGCGCAATGATAAGCACATGACAAGTATTATCTCATTTAATCCTCACAACAGCCCCACTGGGGAAGGTGCCCACTCATCAGAGTCACTGCCCAAGGTCCCAGGTGAGTGACTGGGAAGCTCTGCTCCCAAACCACCGAGAGCTGCTGAAAGGAAGTCAGAAACTCCCTCCCCAAAGACCTGATCTCTGCCGTGGCCCCAGGGGTGCCTGCAGTGGCCTAGGAACGTGCATTCTTGGCTGGGCTGCCCAGCCCTCTTCCTTCCTTGGGGTGGGCTGGGTTGGGCACCTCCTTAGCTCAGCTGGGCAGCCTCACCTCCCTTTCTTGGCAGCCTTGTGGCTGACGTGTTGCAGGGACACCGGCTGAAGTCAGAGTCATCTCTGCCTGCACAGACCCCACTGGAAATGATGGAACACCCCAGCAATAAGTGGAAATGATGTGCTCAGAGTGACCCCAGGGACAATCCTCCCTTACCCCGCCCCCCTTGTGAGATAGCAGCTTGGTTCGAATTCCAAAGAAATATTCCCCTTGGGCTGTGGAGATCAAGTTTCAGAGTGACTGGGACTCTAGGGCAAAAGGGGCTGGCGCACAGCTGGAGGGTGCTCAGGGAGAGGGAAGATCCCCGCCCAGAGGAACTGTCAAGTCTCTGGGGCTGCCTCAGTTATTTCCTCTGTGAAATGTGACAGTAAGTCCACTCCTGTTTCCTCTGACAACTCCCATCCAAAGGCTTCAGCGGCCAGGCCATTCCTAAACGAGAGGCCACCCAGAAAGCGCCGCCACCACCCCCCCTCTGCTCACCCTCCGGGGGGATGGGCAGTTGTCCCAGGACACCTCTCGGGATCCCTGGAACAAGGAGAGGCCCCTGCGGGCCTGAGGCTGGAGGCCGGGGCTGCCCGAACCATCATGCGCCAAGACCCCTGCAGCGACTCCGAATCCTGCTCCGCTCCCACGTCGCACATGCACATGCCCCAGGACGCAGCCTCGCCTCCGGGGCGCCCTGTGCTCCCCCAGCCCTCCTGGAGGTTCTGCAGCCTCACCCCACCAGCCAGCACCCGGGCCCTTCTCCCCTCTGCTGGGGCCGGAGTCCAAGAGCGCCCTGGCTGCGCCTCGCCGCGCCCGAGCGCAGAGCCACCTCCCCAGGGCGCACAGCAGGGAGCCCGCGACCCCCGCCCCCGCCCGGCCGCGCGGCCCTTACCTTCTAGCCCGGGCCCGCGCGCCCGCCCCGCAGCCCCGCAGCCCCGCAGCCCCGCTGGCCCGCGCGCCGGCCCTGGCCGCGGGTTCCGCTCGCCGGCCCTGGCAGCGCTCCGCGCCTCCCACGCCGCCGCGTTCCAACTCTCCGGCGCGCCCCCCGCGCACGCTCTGCCAATCGGCGCCCTGGCACGCGGGCAGGGGCGGAGCCCGGACGCCCAACTTTCCGAGTCTGGGTTCCCGAGAAAAGTGAACTGCGCGCGGGCCGGGAGCGCCTACCTGGCCTCGGGCCGAGGCGGGGCATATTTCTGCCTAGGTCCTGGGGCTGGGTCCCCAGCCTGGACACCCGCGCCCCTGCAGTCTCCCCGGCCTCGGGCTGTCCTCGGCATGCCGCCTGCTCCCATTGCTCTGGAGACTTGGTTCTTGACCTGCGGCCCAGCGGGGCGTCTGGGGGCTGCTGCCAGGGAAGCAGAAAGGAGGCCAGGAGGCCATGGGGTTACTGTACCGTCCTCTGCCTCTGGCGGGCCTCCCTGCTGCTCGCTCTCTGCCCTTCCCGCTCAGCAGCAACATTAATCATAATATTAAAAATCAGCAGCAGCATTTTATCTATTAAACTTTTTATAGTGGATATTTTTAAACATGCACTGAAAGAGTGTAATGGACTCTGCAATGAAGCTCCCATGTTACCAGAGGTGTAGCCCCTGCACCCACACCCCCCAACCTTTGTGCCTCCCCCAAGACTGGAATGAAAGACCCTATTTTCAAATAAGTCACATTAAGGGATAGAATTTCAATATGTACATTTGGGGGACAGAGGGAGACACAATTCAGTTCATTAGAGTCCAGGACTACTAAGATGTTGTATAAAAGAAAAGGAAAAAATCATTTTATGTTTTATTTTCCAGAATGGAAATTAAAATGGCTGGACAGGGCTGTCTCAGGCTCCCGTGGGCTTCATCTCACACTGGCTCCTTCCTGTTCCTCAAAACCCCAAGGACATTTCACCTTGGGACCTCTGCAGTTCCCTTCCAGCGGACCTTCCCCTGCTGCATTTTTGGTATTCAGTTTCCAGCTCAAAACTGTCACCACCTCAGACGCTTGCCTGAACACCCACAGCAGTTTCCTGTCCCACCCTGTCACCCTCAAGACCTCATTCCATTTTTTTTTCCACTTTGCAGAGCATTTCCCCAACCTGAACTCAGTCATCTTACTCAGTCATTTGCTTTTAGGTTCACTGCTTGTCTCTTCCCCCTAGGCTGCGAGCTCCCTGGCTCCAGTGTGCATCTTGTTTATCCCTTTATCTCGAATGCTGAGAACTGATTTCAGCACTTAGTGGAAAGGCCTAGGTCTCTATCACATGCAGGTGGTTTTTCTTGCTGGGTCATTACCAAGGCAAGAGACAGTAGGAGGAGGAAGAGCTGGTGGGACCCGGGTGTCTCTGTCCAGACCTGGAGGCAGGTGCTAGGAGACATGGGTTGAGAGGTGGAGCCCTGCTTTCCTGGGTGGTGTGAGCAGTAGATGCCAGGGAGGGGGCTCTGGTGCTGGGGATACGTCTCCCCCAGTCCTAGCATGTGAGGCCAGGACATAAGGTGAGAAGGGAAGGGAAAGGAACAAGGGACGATAGCAGAGGAAGAGGTAAAGAAAAAGAGGAAGGTTGGGGTTGATAGGCCAGCTAGAAGGCCTCCCCCTGGGGCCTTGGAGAGGCTCCACCCCACTTCACCATTCTCAACCTCTTCAGCGAGGACAGTGCTTACTGAGCATCCGATAGAAACCACAGCCTCAGAAAAGTCTTTAAAAGCTTATAAAACTCATTGCCAACATTTTGTTTTGGGAGATTTCATGTAAAAATCGGGATTTCCAGCATCTTTTAAACCAGAAGACTTGACTGTGCCACGTCCCCCTCTCTGCACAGAGTCGTCTACGTAGATGGGGCACGTGCTGGCCCGTTCACCATGGTCCCCTCGCTCTCTGTGGTTTCCCTCTTGACCTGTTTTACTTACAGGCCTCCGGTTGAATAAACATCTGTATTTATGAGTCCTGTGGTGCAGTCAGGCCTCCATACCACACAGAGGAGGAAGAGAAGAGGTCCTGAGACCCCAGAGGCTGGTTGTAGCCAGGGAGGAAAGTTAGGGCCTTGAGACATTGAGAACTGCTGTTCCAGATGCACACACTGCTTGTCACCCAGGGTGGAGAGGGGTAAAGGGACTTTGACCTGAGCCTCAGGCCACATTCTGTCACTAATACCTCAGGGCCACTCCCCAACCTCCCGTAGAGGGGCTTCCTGGAGAAGGTGGGGCCTACCTGGGGTGGGGGTGGCCCTGAGAAGGGAGCTGGAAAGCTGTGTGAAGGCGGAGCTGCGGTGTTTGCCATGGCACCCTGGCATCTAATGCTTCCTGGCACAGAGCAGTTGTCCAGGAAAGGGCCACATTTTCATGAGTCACGAAAATCAGAGGGAGGATGTGTGCCTGTGGGCCCTGGAGTCCGGAGGCCCCAACTAGCCCACCTTCACTGCTGGTCCAGGCTCCCTGGGGGCGCCGTTCCTTCCAGTGCTGACATTCTATGGATCTGGGTGGGGCATTGGAAAGTCCCCTGGGGACAGCATAAGCTCTGGTCATCTTGCTGCTCACCCCTTCCCACCAGGGGCTGCTGTGGGTGGAGGGCCATGCTCCTCCAAATAAGAGGAAAAACTCGTGACTCAGGGAAAGGCAGAAGTTGAGTCAGCCAAACCACAAGCTGTGGAAAAAATGAGATCTCTCTGAGGCTTTTTCTGCTGTTGGGTAGGGAGCTTCTCTGAGGAATGCTGGCTTCCAGACTGCAGGGGCCAAGCTCAGGACTTTCAAGAGAGGGGATGGTCCTGGAAAACACCTCTGGGGATGTGCTGGGAGTTTTTGTTGGATCATTTCTTAAGTCCTCTCATTATGCCAAGCGCTGTGTGCTGAACACCTCACATTAGCTTGTCACTGTCTAGGGCGGAGCTAACATTCCCAGCTTTGGGCTGAAGGGACAGAGACAAGGCCACAAAGTGTTTAGAGGTGAGGTGTCAAGACTAATGCAAATGGTTCACAGAGAAAAGGAGGGGGGAGGTGAGAGAACAAACAGGCAAAATATTAATACCTGATGATTCTAGGCCAGGGGCCAACATACTTTTTCTCTAAAAGACCTGAACTTTGCCTGCAGGACCCCTGCCTTGCAGAGTTAAGTGACCCCCGCAGCACGCAGGCAGTGGGCAAAGGGCACTCAGATGCCCTGCTATTGGACTGTCAGCATTTCCATGCCCCATAAAACAATTTCTTCTTTTGATATCTTTTCAGCCACTTAAAAAAAAAAAAGCCATTCTTAGCTTATGGGTCACACGAAAACAGTCCAGAGTTTGCTGACCACTGATTTATGGCTCCTTGCCATTCTTGCAATTCTTTTGTTGCTTTGAAAACAGTCAAAGCAAAGAATTTGGGAAACAATGAAAAGGGAAAAAAAAGAAACAGAGGCTGTCTAGTTCCTAACCTGCAGGTCTTGAACTTGGCTCCAAATCTCTTCCAGTCCTGTGAGCCTCCACACCACTGTATTTGATCAGTAACATAAGTGAGACTGAGTTTCTGAAAGCCACAGCAATGTGGGACATGTGGGAAAGACTTCTAGTCAAATGGTTGCAAAGACTGGTTTTGAAGGAGGAAGCCTAAGAAATTGGGAAAACTGATTTCAAAGGCAGATCTTGAGGACTGGGCTGCTGAAGTACTGAGCTTGACCCTGAGATGGCCTTTGCACTCTGCTGTCCAGGAAACTGCAGTGAGGTCCCCCGCCCTCCCTCTTCTCCGTAGTGTCAATATTTAGCCCTTTCTCTGTGCATGTTTACCTCACGTTTGTTATTCCTAATCCTTTTCACGTCTGCAGGTACCGTTGGGCCTTCTCCCGTCATGACTTTTCTGCTGAGGCCCTGGCCAGGCCAAAATAGAAAATAAGAAAATTAAGAAAAGAAACAATGCCCGGGCCTCCCCGGTGGCACAGCGGTTGAGCGCTGGGTTGAGAAGCTGCCCGTAGCCTCTGCAGCGCCGGTTCGATCCCTGGCTGCTCCCCAGTCACTGGAGGAGGGTCCCACATGGCGCGCAGACCTCTCCTGCCGCCCGCTGCTCCCCTCAGCAGTGTATTTCGTCAGTCTGCCTGTTCTGTTCTCCGCTCTGGCTCTGGTGAATTCTCTCACCCTCCCGCGCTTCTGACTGTACCCAGTGCTTGTATAAATAAATAAAAGTAAATCTTTAAAAAAAAAAAAAAAAGAAACAATGCCCTTTGAACAATGGTTCATGGAGGAAAGAAATGTGGCATCTAAATATAATCCTCAGAACACATTATCTTGTTCTCAAATAAGGGAAATCCAAGAGGCCTCTGGCAGCACAGGTTTGGCAAGTTTCCAGCTGGGTCATTCATTCTTTTATCAGTTACTGGGCACCTCTTTGGGCTCTGCTGAGCAGAAGATGCAAATTTGAATGAGGAATTATCTCCGCCCTTGGGGGGTTCACAACCTAGTGGGGAGCAGACTCTTGACCACCTAATGTCCATGAGGAGCGAGAACTGCTCACCAAGCAGAAGACAGAGATCCTCTTGGGGGAGGATTGCTTTGGTTGGATGACATGTCCCAGAACACCATCTTGGCTTGAGAGAGTCAGTCTTTTGGGCCTGGCTAGCAAAGAATTTCTTACCTGCTGCATTGAGGGCAAGAACAGGAATTTTAGGGGACAAAAACAAGTAAGAGAGAGAAAAAGATCTAGAACCTTATGTGAGACAGGACCAGGGGAAGTTCCCCAGCTGAGGAATGGGGTAGTGCAGTTGAGAAGAGACCTGAAAGCACAGGGATGGGCTATTTACTTGCTGAGTTCCCCAATGTGGCCCACACTTTTTAGTTTTTACTCCTCAAAGCTTTAAGAAATTCACACCTTTGCTGGTGGGGACATTAGTTGTTTGATTCAACCTCTAAGGTGCCTCTGATGTGACAACATCTATCCTACTGAAAAAATGCACAGGTCCTCTG